CAAAAGAAGATGGAGGACCTTTCTACGAAGATGGTGCCAAAAGCAAAGAAAGAAGCCCCTGCCCCTCCCAAAACTGAAGCCAAAGCAAAAGCATTAAAGGTCAAGACAGATGGAGGAAATACATGGTACCAAAAAGAACTGATTGACACTGAAAAATTTCAGGTAGCACCATATGACATTAATTACAGTCCCCAAATTCTAATGTGTCTTGTTCTATTTCCTCCCTGTGATTTTTGTTTCCATTTATCCTTTCTTGTCCCTTCCTACCTTCTAAACTTTGTATCTGGGCTTATAGTGCCTTTGTAATTTTGACTGAATGGTTGTTCAGATTACTTCCACAGTTCACCTTATAAGCAAGTGTTTGACTAAAAGTTGATATACATGGATGAGTTTAGTTACAGGCTTAAAAGAATACGAAGGGCCGTGGTCTTGAGGGCTTCATTAGTCTTAGTAGACCATCAGGCCTGGTCACTTTTTTCATTTTGAGTTTTTGTCCCCATTTCCCCACCCTGTATGTGATCCTCTACTGTGATTCCTGTAGAGTGATCAGCAGTGGTACCCAGGTACCATCTAGCTCTCTCGTCTAAGGGTAGTAGAGGTTGAAGTTCATAAAGTCAATTAGTTGAAGTTCTAGAATACTCTTGCATGTATCCCAGCACAAGCTTTCCCTGTTCTGTTGCAATTCATCAGCAATGATGAAAAAATTTTGCAAGTATATAAATATATATATTTGATAAATGTTGATAGTTGTTGAAGGGCTTCAGGCCTTCTGTTCCTAGAGTCGCTATGAGTCATGCTCGATTCAAAGGCAGTCAGCAACGTTTATATATATATACACACACACATGTGTATGCTTGTATGTGTGTGTGTCTATGTGTAAAAAAACTCTGTTAACTCCTTAGACCCAGTTAGTAGTTCCTATGTCTCAGACTTCTGCTTTTAATTAATGATTGAATGAATAAGAAGCAAGTGATCACATGTGGCATGAGAAAGCTACACTCTTTTTATTTCCTTCTTCTGGCTGGTCTCTTGCCTTCTTGTTTTCTTCATTCATACCCTTTAACTCCCTAGTTCTGACCCTTCATCCTCCATAGTGGTGATGTTGTGTACCATAGAGTCAGAATTGACCCATAGCCGACCCTCTGGCTGGTTTTCAGAGGCAGTTAATCATGTGGGATTGCAGTGCAGCTTCTTGCCACGAGGCCACCAGAGCTTCCTCCATAGTGTTTCAGTATAATACATATGCACACACATCAACACACTCACTCATAAGAGATTTTATACCACTTAGACCTGCCCTTCAGGAATCCAAACTGCAATGTCCCAGAAGATGGTTCTCCTGACTAGAACATTCCCAGAAGCTCTTGACTGGGGTACCATTGGCTTTGTCAGCATGCCACTGTCTGGGCCTAGCTTAATCAGCAGAAGGCAGCACGGGATGACAAAGCAAAATATTACAATGAAATGTGCAAGGAGTTGGAGTCAGAAAATCAAAAGGGCCGAACTCACTCAGCATATCTTAAGCTCAAGGAAATGAAGAACAAATTCAAACCTCGAGTTGCTATAATCAAGGATGCTTTTGGCAGAATGTATCCAGGATGTATTAAAAGAAGATGAAAGAAGTATACTGAGTCACTGTATCGAAAGGAATTGAAAGACACAGAAGAATTTCATGAAACAACATATGAGCAAGAGCCTATGATGATGAAAGAAGTTCAGGCTGCTTTGAAGGAAATGGCCAAAAATAAGGCTCCAGGAATAGATGGTATACCAATTGACATATTTCAGTTAACAGATGCTGCCCTGGACGTCCTCACCAAGTTGTGCCAAGAAATCTGGAGAACGACCACTTGGCCAACTGACTGGAAGAGATCGATATTTGTTCCTATCCCAAAGAAAGGTGACCCAACCGAATGTGGAAACTACAGAACAATCTCACTGATTTCACATGCAAGCAAGATTTTACTGAAAATTATCCAAAAACGACTGGAACAGCACATCAGCAGAGAACTACCAGAAGTCCAGGCTGGGTTTAGAAGGGGTCGTGGTACTAGAGATATTGTAGCTGATGTTAGATGGATCTTGGCTGAAAACAGGGAATACCAGAGGAATGTCTATCTGTGTTTCATTGACTATGCAAAGGCATTTGACTGTGTAGATCATAACAAACCATGGCTGACTCTGAGAAGAATGGGAATCCCAGAACACTTGATCGTTCTAATGCCAAACTTATACTTGGACCAGGAGGCAGTCGTCAGAACAGAGCAAGGGAACACTGCATGGTTCAAAATTGGGAAGGGCGTACGCCAGGGATGCATCCTATCTCCATACCTTTTCAACCTATATGCAGAACAGATTATCCGGGAGGCTGGGCTCTATGAGGAGAAATGTGGGGTCAGGATTGGTGGACGATTTATCAACAATCTGCGTTATGCGGATGACACAACCCTGCTTGCTGAAACTGAAGAGGACCTGAAGCGCCTGCTGCAGAGTGTCAAGGACTGCAGCCTACAATATGGATTGAGGCTCAATGTCAAGAAGACAAAGATTCTCACCACTGGACCAATTGGCAGCATCAGGATGGATGGTGAAGAGATTGAGATCGTACACAGCTTTAGTTTGCTTGGCTCCATAGTCAACAGTCTTGGCACCAGCAGCCAGGAAATCAAAATGTGCATTGCCATGGGAAAGTCTGCTGTTAGGGACCTCTCCAAAGTACTGAAGAGCAGTGGTGTCTCTCTGGAGACTAAGGTGCGTCTGATACAGGCTTTGGTCTTCCCAATCACTTGTTATGCATCAGAGAGTTGGACAATGATCAAGGAGGATAGAAGGAGAATTGATGCCTTTGAGCTGTGGTGCTGGAGAAGAGTATTGAGAATACCATGGACTGCTAGGAAAACAAATAGATTTGTCCTGGAAAGGGTTAAACCGGGTGGCTCCTTGGAGGCAAGGATTCTGAGGCTCCGTCTAACATACTTTGGACACGTTGTGAGGAGAGACTGGTCCTTGGAGAGGGACATCATGCTTGGGAGAGTGGAGGGACAGCGCAGGAGAGGAAGGCCCTCTATGAGGTGAATTGATTCAGTGACTGGGATAATTGGGATGGGCGTGTCAGAGACAGTGCAATTGGCACAGGACAGAGCAGAGTTTAGGGCTGTTGTACATAGGGTCGCTATGAGTCGTAGGCGACTCGACAGCACATAACAACAACAACAACCTTTTTTTAAAAAAAATTATATTGGTTTATCTACAGAGTTTATATACATTGTTTTTCACACATGAGACTTATTTTTAGGTAAAGCCTATTTCCGTCAAGCCAGTTCTGACTCATGGTGATCCTGCAAGATAGAGTGTAACAGCTCCATAGTGTTTCCAAAGCTGTAAATTTTTACTGACGCAAACTGCTTCATTTCTTGGTTGTGTACTTGCAGCTGGAACTCTTTAACCACTATGAGGTCATAGTTCCTATCTTTACTTAGGGTAAGCATAAAATGCTAGTGCACAAGGGTGCCATAACTAAATGTACACTGTTCTGTTAAATGAGACTGTATGGTCACCTATCTGTAATAGGATATAAAGATCATTTCACTCAGCTCTTCTTTCCACTCACCTCTCCCTCTTGTTGTTTATTATATGGATTACATCTCAACATCAACAAAACAAAAACCCTCACCACTGAGCCAGTAGGCAGCATCTTGACAGGTGGAGAAACTATTGAAATTGTCAACAGTTACTTGAATCCACAGACAACACTCCTGGTACCAGTGGTCAAGAAATCAAAAGGTGTGTTGCATTGGGAAAAATCTCCTGTAAAGATACTCTCCACACTGCTCAAGAACAGCCATGTCGGTTTAAAGACTAAGGTGCACCTCATCCAAGTCATGGTATTTTCATTTACTTGGTGTATGCATCTGAAAGTTGGACAGTGAATAAGGATGACAGGAGAATTGATGCCTTTGAGGTTTTTTTTTTTGCCTTTGAGTTTTGATGTTAGAGAAGAGTACTGAATATCCCATAAACTTGTGAAAGAACAAATAGATCTTGAACAAAGTACTACCAGTGTACTCCGTAGAGGCAAGAAGAATAAAACTTCGTCTCACGTACTTTGAGCATGTTGTCAGGCAGGGCCTAGAAAAAAAAGACATCGTGCTAAGAAAGGGAGAGAGGGTCAGCGAAATAGAGGAAGACCTTCTAGATGGAGTGGTAACGGTAGCTGTATAAATGGGCTCGAGTATATCAGAGATGATGTGGATGGCGCAGGACAGGGTGGGGTTCAGATTCATTGTTCATAGGGGTGCTGTGAGTTGTAAGGCACCCTGACAGCAGTGTAGGATTACTGTGCCTCAGAGTGGACTCAACAGTATAGCACTTGACAAGAGCAATCTCAAAATACATTCTACACTAATTTTGTCTCATTAATATAACAAAGGTAATGCATTCCAAAATGAAATAATATCCATAGGCATGTTGTTGTTAGGTGCCCATCTAGTCCACTATAACTCAGCATCCCAGTGAACAACAAATGGGAATTTTGCCCCACCCTAGTACAGGCAGAGGGGGTAGGATTTGCAGCATTTATTTTCGTTATTATTATGTTCTGCTGAGTTGGATCCTCCAGCTGGTTTTCAGAGGCTGTAAATCACATGAGAAGAGATCACCATGTCTTTGGATTGGCAATTCCTCTCCTTACCTGGTTAATATACATTGGGGAGACACAGTTCAATCCATAACAAAAGAGTAGTTCACTGTTGGCAGTTTTTCCATTAGATTGGAAAGCTTCACTTAGTTATTCGTCCTTGGAAGGGAGATTGTTGGAATTCCCCCATGGCAGAGTGCCTTCTCCCCCACACCCTCTGGGGCCCAGACCAGGGAGGCAAAATGACAGAGAATGTTACTTTACCTGTGCTTAGGTAAGCATGCTAGTGGCCATGGACTCAAACAGACCTCTGCTGAAAATTAACAGAACTCGAGTTCTCTTCTTTCCATTTATAACTCCACAGGAGAGAAGCTACTTGAAGGACAAGTGATCCAGCTTGAAGATGGAACCACTGCATACATTCACCAAGTGACAGTACAGAAAGGTGAGGACACCCCACACATGCCTGTCTCCTGGAGAAAGGCTGGATGGCTGTCACTGAGGTACACCTCCGTGGTGCTGGGCACTAGAGAAAAACTAACATTGGTCTTATTTCAGAATCTCTCTCCTTTGAAGATGGACAGCCTGTGCAGCTAGAAGATGGCACCATGGCCTACATACACCGAACACCCAAAGGTGAAGTCACAGTTCCCAGGACCAGTGGGGAAGGAAGGGGAAACATAACTGGCAGAGGTTAGGGATGAGGTGGCACTTTCTTAGAGCTGTGACCCCTACAGTGCAAGCATACTCACCTAGATTAGCGGCTTCACCCACTTTCCTGGCACAGACCTTAAGGGCACCTGTTTCTACCCCTAAAATACTAAGCAGTACATATCCTGATGGTAACTTTTTGACTCTCAGAGTCTTAGAGCTTTAAATACAGGACCTGAGAATGACATCTTAGACCAGGAATAAAGACTTACTGATATTTAAGAGTAAACCTTAAAAAGGAATAAAAAGTGATTAATTCCATCTATATGTAATTTCTTGAGCCATTACTACATTCCAACACTGTTAGATGTGGAGGATACAAGAGAGAACAGAGTCAGACACTGTCCTGCTGTCTTAGCATCTAGTGGGGCAAATGAAAACGAGAGAAACCATCAGTGTTGCAACCTGGGATGAGGATCAAGAGGCTACTGACAGCAGGTGATGCCTGCTAAAGGATGCAGAGTGCGAGCTGAAGGGGGAAGTGCAGTTATCTAAGGGGAACAGGCTTAGAGGAGGGGTCAGTACTCCAGACAGAAGGAACAGTGTGTGCAAACCCAGGGATAAGAGCATGAAAGGATGTCATGGTCAAGAAGCTTCTACAAGCTAGGGGACTGAGAATGAATGCAAGATGAGTAATGTCCATCAAAGAGAGAGGCTGGGGCTAAAGTGCTCAGAGACCTGAGTGTCAGAATAAAGATTTGGGGTTTCATCTTGAGATCAGTAGGCCACAGTTGAACTGCTTAGGCAGGCAGGTGACATGATCATATTTGCCTTTTGCAAAAATCTCTCTGGATACCATATGACCTAGAGGAATCAAGAGGTCTGGAGGCTCCTGTCTTGGCCATGATGAATGTGGTCCTTTGTCAGGTCCTCAGGGAGGCTGTGAGTTCCCCATCAGTGCTCTGTAGGAGACCTCTTTCTTAGGAGAGGCAGCCTCAGCAGAAGAGCCAGCAGGAGGCACAGAGGCAGGAAGAAAAGTCCTTTCAGGAGAAACTGAACACTTAGGCACTTACAGTTAACTTAAAGTGAGGGTTCCAGTTGTATCTCTTCCCTTTGTGCGGCATCTCTGTTAACCATGGGTTCCCTGCAGAGGGCTATGACCCCAGCACCTTGGAAGCTGTCCAGCTGGAAGACGGCTCCACTGCCTACATTCACCACCCTGTGGCTGTACCATCAGACAGCACCATCCTGGCCGTGCAGGCAGAGGTGGGCTTAGAGGAGCTGGGCACAGAGGATGATGAGGGCTTCAGTGCAGACACGGTGGTGGCCCTGGAGCAATATGCCAGCAAGGTGAGCACACAGTCTGTGATGCTCTTCTCCTCTTGTCTTTCTCTCTGAACATTAGGACCTTGCATGCCCACTGCCTCTTGGCCCTGCTCCTTCCTTCCACTTCTCAAGAGGACACAAAATGGGCCTATGCCTGAGCAAGTCTTGTGCTTCTCTCTTTGCTCCTTGTCCTAGCTGTCCCCACTCATCCCTCTCAAACATTAGGTCCAGGGTGTGTGTCACAGCCTGGCCGTGCCTGCACACAGCTGTTTGCACTCATCCTTGTTTATGCTGTCCCTGTACAGGGGAGGCAGCTGTACAAAGCAGTGACATCCGGATGGTGAGAATTTAGACCCAGCTTCACATTGGCTATTGTAATAATTCTCTGTGTAGTCTGGGACAGCCCACACCAGTGACTTTTATTACTTTTACATTCCACTGAGGTCAGATGTTCTCATATTTATTTCTTCTCTGCAACTCATTTAGTCATGTGGGGTAGTATCCTCAGTAGGCAATGATGAGGTCAATTGGAGCAGAGCAGCTGGGGTTATTGGAAAATGCAGCCAGCACAGTAGCTCAGCTGGAAAGGAGAAGGCTCCCAGCTCTCCAGACGTCAGGCAGTATGAGTTCTCTGTCAGAGCTGTGGTCCTGTCCATGGGGAAACTGGAGTACAAAGATTGATGACCTTTCCAAACCACGATGCTCCCTCAGCACCCCAGCTCCTGAGAGCACCAGTTTTGCCCAGAAGTGGGAGGTTGATGTTTTTATAATTAGAAAAAAAGAGATCAGTGTGTTTTTTCAAAGTGAAGCATAAAACTTAATAGAAAACTTCTTTAAGCTATTCTCACTAACTGAGTATATGTCCCAGAGGTGTGTTTTGTGACTTGCTGCTGATGGAAAGGAGATGAGGCTTAAAATCCTGAGCTTTTGGGGTCTGTGCTGATTCTGCCTCTTCCTGGTCTGTCCTTTTGCCCTCTCTGACCTCAGCTTGCTTCTTTCTAATGCTGTGCGCTTGGGTCAGATGACCTTAGAGCTCACTTTTGACCCTGATATTCCTTGATTCCCTCACTTCCCCCAGGAGCTAGCGAAACATAAGAATGAAATCTGAGTGTTTGAGTAGGTTAACCTGCTAAGCAGGCCTGGCCCCCGGTCACCCTCCACTTGTACCACCACAGGCTGCTTAAGTATCCAAGGAGCATTGTTGGCTGCTTGACCCCCTCATCTCTGGATAATGATTAGACAGGCCATGCCTCTCTGTGTCTGATTCACTATGGTTTTCCACATTCTGCTTCAGGAGCTCCTATACAGGCCAAAATATCCTGCATGATCCCATAAACAAACAGGAATGGAAGGGCCTACCAGGAGCAGGCCTAGGAAAGGAGAGGAATAAGTGTTGATTGTGGCTAGAGACTGGTAGGAAACTAGGAGTGTCCCCAGGATAGGAAATGAATAGGAAAGAATTGTTAGCTGGACACTGTGATTAGTAATGAGGACGTGCAGTATCCTGCATGCGACCATCTTGTTTCTACAGCTGGTTGTGGCTGCCTCCCTCTGAACTCCCTACCCTGCTGAGCGACTCTAGCTGAGCTCACCCCCACAGAAAGCCCTCTTGGTAATGCCCCTTCCAAACACAAATTTCTGAAGGAATAAAGGAGGCCTCTCCCTTGAGAAGATGAAGGTATCCAGAGTTTAGTCACCTATGTGATTTTGGAACTCATCATAGCTCAAGTGTGACCATCAGACATCCCCTCTCTTACCTGACTGGTTAAAGAGGTGACCTTTCTTCAGTAATGGCACAGACCCTATGACATTTAATCCTCTCTTTGTCAATCAGGATGGGAGGGGTGGCTCCACATGCCAGCCCTGTATCTGCAGTATCCCAGTGTCTATCGCTCTGGGTGTGTCATTCCAAATTGCCTTTCCCCGGAGGATCTGGTGGGTTTAAGGGGTTCTAAGGTTTGAGATGGCGAGGTTGGCACAGGATAGAATGGCGTTTAGGGCTCTTGTACATAGGGTCGCTATGAGTCGCAAGCGCCTGAATGGCACATAACAACAAGGTGCCCTTACCGTCTCTTTATTGAGATGAATACATGTGGAACCCAAGATATTTTCCTCAGGTTCTGCACGACGGCCAGGCTCCTCAAAATGGCAAAGGACAGCAGGTTGGGGACAGAGCATTCCGCTGTGGCTACAAGGGCTGTGGACGTCTCTACACCACTGCTCATCACTTAAAGGTAAGGCTGCTGACCGACAGATTTTAGCTCTGCCATTTCCCCCATCATGCTTTGGCAGAGTTGACCACTGCCCTCAAGTTGCTCGTTGCCTACTTTGAGCATACATCGCTGTCAGGACAGGGGCTATGAGCCACATAAAGAGCTTCCTGTCGGAAGGGGAGTCAGGAGAGTGTCTAGAAGAGGGGGATCTTCAGGTGATGAGTACACAAATAAAGGAGATGGCCACTATGTGGATTCTGGTGTTTCGAGCCGTAAAAAGAACTGACACTGTGAAACGTATGCTTGCTTATCCCCACAGGTGCATGAACGAGCTCATACGGGTGACCGCCCGTACAGGTGTGACTTCCCCAGTTGCGGGAAGGCCTTTGCTACAGGTAACCTATCTACCTGGGTGGAGGGGGACAGCTTCCTGTGAGGGTAGGGGATTTTAGTTTAGCTTTGGTGTCTCCCTAAAGGAAACTCAACACCAAGCTGTCTTCTCAGAAAAACTGCTGTCCAGTAAATTCTGACTCTCAGGGCCCACTCTGGAGGAAAACTTTTTAAAGGCACAGAAACAGCATGGTCTAAGCTCGCAGAGGAGGCTTGGAGCATATCAGTGACCCTGCCTCTCATGTTAGCCCTGATACCAGCTAGCTAAAGGGATTTTGGTTGGGCCAGAGCATCTCTCTGGGCTTCATAAGCCACAGAATCCTTCGGTTCCCTTGCAAGGACCCCAGCTGCCCTAGAAGGTGGCTGCGTAGAGAGGGAAAGAGCAGAGCTTTTCCAGCCTTTCTGACTCCAGAGATTGGGGTAGAATAGACAAATGCTGGGGCCTCTGGAGCATCACAAAGCAATTTTAAGATGGAACACCTCTAGATTAGGAACCTGGGAGGTGGGGCGTGATGCCCCGCTGGTTGCTCTGTTCATCCTTCCCCTCCCACACACAAACAGGCTATGGACTGAAGAGCCACGTGCGTACCCACACTGGTGAGAAGCCATACAAGTGCCCAGAGGAGCTGTGCAGCAAGGCCTTCAAGACCTCAGGAGACCTACAGAAGCACGTCCGCACCCACACCGGTGGGCTGCGCCCTGGCCCTGGCCCCTGCTCAGTGACCTTTCAGCTTCAACCCAATGCCATCTTCACACCTTATTCCTGCCTGGCTCCCTCCTGAGCTACCCCTAAAACCCTCTCCTTTCCACAGGTGAACGCCCATTCCGGTGTCCTTTTGAGGGCTGTGGCCGCTCCTTCACCACCTCTAATATCCGCAAGGTACATGTGCGTACCCACACGGGGGAGCGCCCCTACACCTGCCCTGAGCCCCATTGTGGCCGCGGCTTCACCAGTGCCACCAACTACAAGAATCATGTGCGCATCCACACAGGTGGGCCAGCTGGCATGCAAAGACCACCCTTTCTAAAGCCCAAACTCCTCTACCAGCTTCTGATCTGGCTTACATTCTCAACTCCCACCCCAAAAGCCCCTTTCTGCTGACCATTCTAGCCTGATCTGAAGGCTGGAGGTTCAGGCAGTCTCACCAAAACCACCAGTTTACAGTGAGGGGTTCCTTCATTTGCAGTTAGGTTCAATCTGGCAGGTATTACCAGTTCTCATTGGAGCCCTTGAGCTCCCTGCTACCCCGTGCACCCAGACTGCATCCTCTTCCATCTGAGCTCTTAAAAGAAGGCCAGGGACTGTGGGGAAAGACAGAGTGGAATGTCATCTCCTCACCTCATCCACTTTCCATGCGATTCCTGCGTGTCCTCACCCTCCCCAGTTCATTCCCCTCACCCAGCCTTCTGTGTCAGCTCCTCTTGGCCATCTGTGTTTCACACTCTCCTTTCTCAACTGACACTTCACTCATCTTCTCTATCTCCTGCCTCTTCTATTCTCCACCATTCTACCTTCTGCTTTCCAAGCTCCTGGCTCCCCACCAGTTTCTTCACTAGCCCCAGCACTGCATTATCCTTCCATTTCCTCCCTACCTTGCCTGTGTGCTCCTTGATCCCACACTCATGTCCTTTCTGCATTCCACCAGAGGTCTTTCCCAACTTTGTCCATCTGTACTCCCAGATATTAGTCCCTGTCCCTGCCTGTGTGGCCCTCCCTTCACCAACCCTGTTCCTCACCCCTGTCCCCTTTAGTTTTCCCCTAGCCAGCCCCAGATCCCACCCCCCTCACAGCCCAGTGTCCCCAGGGGAGAAGCCATACGTTTGCACGGTGCCAGGCTGTGGGAAGCGCTTCACCGAGTACTCAAGCCTGTACAAACACCATGTGGTGCACACGCACTGCAAGCCCTACACCTGCAGCACCTGCGGCAAGACCTACCGACAGACCTCCACCCTGCATGCCATGCATAAGCGGAGCGCCCACGGCGAAGCTGGAGGCCACCGAGGAGAGCGAGCAGGCCCTTTATGAGCAACAGCAGCTCGAGGGTGAGGGCTGTTGCAAGAGGCGAGTGGGCAGGGGTAAATGAGGATAAGCCAGGCCTCCCCGTGACCATCTGGTGGCAAGTTTCAGCCTGGGCTCTCCTCTCCCAGCCGCCTCTGCAGCTGAGGAGAGCCCACCACCCAAACGACCCCAAGTTGCTTACCTTTCGGAGGTGAAGGAAGAGAGCCATGACATCCCAGCCCAAGTGGCCATGGTGACAGAGGAGGATGGGGCCCCGCAAGTGGCTCTGATCACTCAGGATGGTGCCCAGCAGGTACAGGCCCTAAGGGACTAAGGTGGGGACGGGCAACCCTGACTGACTCCTTTCCCATTCTGTGGACTCTGGGGAGCCCTGAAATTCTAATAGTGCCATCTCTACCAAGTTTCCCTTTCTAACCATATGGACCTCGGAAAGCTGTGGCATAAGGTAGCAGATCTTGTGCTCAACTCCTCATCATCATCATCAAGTTTCCACCTCAGTCTCTGGGAGTTAGCAGATACCCTCTTGGAATCTGAGACAAATCCTGATCCTCTGAATGAGACATGTAGACATCCTTTAAAAAGGCATGTTGGTGTTGGAACCAGAGCATGCCATGGGAGCTGGAAGCCTGGGCCCCAGTTCCACCAGAGTTGCTAACCAGCAGTATAAGCTGACCCGTGTCAGCACCTTTCCTGTCGAATGTGTCCGTACCTCTTAGAGTTGTGATGGGGATGAAATTAGGTGGAGACTGACTTGCATAGAACACAGCATAAAGACCAAGAGATAGTAAGTAGAAGTGATCAGATGTGTACTTCTAGTTAGTGTGCCTCTCTTTGCAAGCTAGGACCTGATCTACTTGCCTCCCCTCCACCTCATGACATGAAGCTGACCTTAACAGCAAACTAAGCTTGTCTGGGAGAGCAGATGCATCTTCATTAGAGATTTTCAAGAAACCCAACTCTAGGGCTTCAGCTTATCTTCTCTTCTCCTATGGGCAGGTCAGTCTGTCCCCTGAAGATCTGCAGGCCCTGGGGAGTGCCATCAGCATGGTGACCCAGCATGGCAATACCACCCTCACCATCCCCAGTCATGACAACGACCTTGTCACAGCTGGCACACATACGGTCACCATGGTCAGCGCGGATGGCACCCAGACGCAGCCCGTATGACCAGGCGGTTTGCTTGGGGTTTCTTGTTCTCTTGTCTTTCCTTGCTGTGGGGTGGGCATTAAGGTGCTAGCATAAAGGCTGAACTAGCTAAGCCTTCTTAAAAAGACAGTGATTCCCCAGTACAGCTGCTGTGGGCCATCAGCAGCTTGTCCTTAAAAGTATTTGGGAGGCAGGGAGCTCTGATGGCCTAGTGGCAAGAAGCTGCACTGCAATCCCAGAGGTTACACAGTTTGAATCCACCAGATGCTCTACTGGAAAAGGAGGGGAAATCTCCTCCTGTACCAGTCAGATCCTATTTGATGGTACACACACAAAAAAGAAATTTAAAAGAAAGTATTTGGGAGGCAAGAGATAGTTTCTAAAGCTCTGTATTCCTAATTTGCTTTACCATTATAACAAGTCCATGTTTCTTTGGATTTCACTCATTTTCAAATTACGGTATTTATTTCTGCAGTCTTTTATATCTGTCCTTAAGTGATTCAGAATGGCTAAGGTTAATTGGACTCTTTTTTTTTATTTTTATTTTTTTTAATTGGACTCTTAAGTTGACCAAAAACTCCAACCTCACTTGCTCTGAGTCCCAAGTTAATTAATCCTTAATCGTTAGCATTCTCTTCTGAGTTGTTCTTGGGCACCTTCTTCAAAGGTGGGTGAAAAGGAGAGGGAGAGAATCATGCAGATGAAGTAAAAAGCCTTCTGTATTTCAGGTCACAATCATTACCTCTGGAGCTGTAGTGGCTGAGGACTCAAGTGTAGCATCTCTTCATCATCAACAGGTGGCGCTCGTGGCCACAGCCAATGGAACACATATTGCTGTGCAGGTGGGTTTTAAAAAAAAGGTGGGAGGAACAGGAATCCTACTCCAGACAAGGTGAGGAAATGAGGTGGAAATCTTGAAAATACGGATATTTGGCTTAAAAAGAGCCTGTTTCATAAGACAAATCCATTTCTGCCTATATCCGCATTCCTATTTAGAGTTTTTTCTTGGTTGGGACAGCAAGTGGAGCCCCTTCTGACCTTTAGGATGGCTTTAATTGTCATTCATGTGGGAAAGACGTTGACTGAAGCAGATGATTGCTGTCCTCTCCAACCAGCCATTTTCAGAGCGAGCTAGTCGCTGACCTAGGCTATCTTTTGGCCACACCTAGACTAATCAGTGAAAGCCCTGTTATGGGAGCCCGCATTACATGTTCAGCATTTAGCAGAGGGTAAATAGAGGAGATTTTAAAAAGTAGACTGTACAGTCTGTGCCCCAAACAGGAGAGTCTCAGAAGAAGGTTTCACCATCTTCCCTTTCTTCTCCACCTCCTTCTCTGTAGCTGGAGGAGCAGCAAACCTTAGAGGAGGCCATCAGTGTGGCCACTGCTGCCATGCAGCAAGGGACTGTGACCTTGGAGACAGCAGCATCGGAGAGTGGCTGCTGAGCCTGCAAGGGCTGAATCCCACACCAAGCTGAAGGTGCCACAGGCATCCTTGCCTCCAGGGGCCCAGGCGGTGGCTGACATGTGGAAAACAGCCACAAAGGTCTCTGGGGTGAGAAGGCGGCAGGAAGATGGCCTGACGGGAACAAGGGCCCTGCCCATGAAGAGGGCCAAGCAGTCAAAATCAAGGAAGTGTGACATCCACAGTAGCTGAGGAGGACATGCCTGGTAACCGAGCTGCACAGAGGTGTCCTCCCTCAAAAACAGCTGGGTGCCCCCTCTACTCCCTCTAGAGAGCATCTTGCTTGCCCTCAATCCTCTCCCCTTTCTCAGGTGGAGACTAGAGCTGCTATGGGGACTGGTCCTCCACTCCAGCTGGTCGCTGCCCACAGTGGAAGAGGGCAGACTGCCTTTTGGTCCAGTAGGAGCAGAGCAGGTCCAGGCCTGCCACACAGGGGTCTCCCAGCACCTCCCCCTCCCAGCAATAACCACCTCCCCAGAGGCCAGCCAAGATACCCAGCCATTTGGCAGCAGGGACTTCCTCAGAATTCCTCAGGGGCCCGTGGCTAGAGAAAGGGTGCCTAGCCCCCACTATTCCCCAGCTGCCCCCAACCTCACTGTGGCAGAGACAGGGTGTGGCCTTGTACATAGAATGCTGGGGAATGGGTTACGTTTGTTGGTTTTGGGGTGGTTTTGGTTGGTTGTTTTTTTTTTAAATTCCATTTTGGTAACATTTCCCCCACCCCTGCTCTGGATGGTGATGGCAAATGGGTGAATGAGTATTTAATAAAAGATCCAAGTTTCTACCTTGGTGTCTCTACCCTCCTTTCAGATCTAGAGCATAGTGGTAGATCTAGTCCAGTATCCCTGACACAAACATCATGCCAGACTGGTGAACTTGGCCTGGCACAAGTGCGGGAGAAGTCCTGAAGGGTTGTCTTGGCTTCCTACACACAGCTAAGCAGCAGGCTCTGGGATGGCATTGTGTGGGCCGGACAGTAGCAGGGAAGCCCCTGTTATAAAAACTCTTTGAATCCCAGGCTCAGGCTGGGCAGGCTGGAGAAACTCTTTCTATAATCAGAACCCTTCCAGCCCCACCTCTGCACACAGCTCCTTCGAAAGTGGGGCTGAGAGTGCCTTTGCCAAAGTTGTGGAGGTCCAGGGAATAGAGCTGTTGGTTTTTTTGGGTTTGGGTCTTTTTTTAAAAAAAACAAAACAAAAACATCATTTTTATTGTTAAGTCAAATAGGTATCAAAATTAAAAGCAAAAATTACAAGGTGAGACTCAGCTACTAGCAGCACCAAAGGAAGTGAAAATGGTACTAGGCACGGGGACAATATGAACTCCTGAACATGGAAAGGGCAAGAATGGGGATAACAGCATGTGCTGAAGATACTGGGGAGAAGAATCTGGTAAAAACATTTCATCTTAGACAAGTGCCTAGGTAAAAAAATTAATGGGAATAGGTTTCTAATCTACACCATGTGATTAAGAATCATCCTCCCCATTGGCACTGTCTCTGTCTTACTCTCCTTCCTCAGCCTCTCTCATCCTTGATCAACTCTAGCCTGGTCATCCCCCAATCTTCATTATCATCATCCAGTGGGTCCCCCTCAGCAGAGTCATCTGCACCCCGCTCAGATTTCATCTTCACATTAGTTTCAACTTTTCAGGGAGCTGTTGCTCTGCGCCTCTTCTGACATCATTCTTCTTCATCTCTTCTACTTGTTAACTCTGTTCTTTTTTAGTTTTTCAGGGAATAGAGTTTGATGCCTCTGTTGTTCTGGACCTGAGCAGTCTTCTCTGTGTTGCCCAGCTCTGAGGATGCCCACCCAGATGTCTGGGGCCTTGTTATGGGATTCCATAGCCTCAGTCAGACCCCACAATTGAGGTAGAGACAACAGTGTGGGCAGGAAATGGACTACTTCAGGAGAAGGAACTTGATGGGAGAGTCCTTTGGGTTTGACCTTGCCTGCAGGAGAGCTCAATGACTGAACATGGTTCTTTTCCTCTGTCCTTTTCCTGTCTGCTTTGATAGGTGGTGTGCCTAAAGTCCCAGGCAGCCACCCAGAATTAGAACCCCAATCCTAACCCAAACACCCTCTCCTGAGATGCCTGGAAATTTGCGTACTCTTGCCACTTGCTCATTGAAAGCAGAGGGACTTGAAGCATCTCCTTGGGTAGGGAATCTCAGATTTCCCTGAGTAGGCTTCTGTCATGACTCCGGACCCCCATCAGCAAATCCACTAGCCTGGCTGAGGGTGGGGGAGCAGACAAAAGTCTCGTTCCTCGTAGATACCAGATCCAAAGTATTGGAGCAATGGTCTGGAGTCTTACTCCTGTGATCCTGAGGTTGAGCCCACAACAGGCCTCACTCCCATGTACTTCAGAAACAATCTCCAGTGTCTTCAGGCCGGTAAGTCCTGGAGTGGGCAGCACTTTAGCGATTTGAGTGCCTTTAGAGTCTCTGCCCAGACACTGGGGAACCAGCATATCAAGTGCCAAGTCCAGCTGACCTGGAAAGGTGCCATGGGCAAGTTCTTCCTCCAACTCTATTGTTCTCTTTATTTTCTCCCTTTTGAGTGGGGTCCCACCATTGTAGTAATGTTACACTACTGTTATCAAGTCAATTCTGATTCATAGCAATCCTGTAGAACTGCCTTATGAGGTTTCCAAGACTGGAAATTTTTTTTATTTCTGCACAATTATTTATTCATAGAAAATACATTTTTTGTCTTTATTTCTTTTTTTATTGACATTTTAATAAAAGTTTGTAGAAAACTTGGATTTCCATTCATTCATTTTTGCACATTGTCCTCCCTGCCCCTCCCCCCCGTTTGCTTTTTTCTTGGAAAAAAAATTCTTTTCATTGTTATGAAGTTCCCCCAGTCCACTTTACTATGCAACTCTTATTCTGGATTTTTTTTCTTGCCAATAATACCTAATCATATATTCCTTTTATGCAGTTCTCTCTTCATTTGTTTCAATGTCATATGCATTATTTATCCCCTTAGTTTTCCCCCAACCCCCATGTCAGTCCTATTTTACAACAATGGCATTATGTAGTATTTGTCTTTTTGTGACTGAGATACTGCACTCAGCATAATGTCCTCCATGGTCACCCATTTTGTATAATATTTCATGAGTTCCTTGTTTTTCAGTGCTGCATAATATTCCATTGTGTAAATATACCACAGCTTCTCTATCCATTCGTTTGCTTATGGGCACTTCGGTTGTTTCCAACTCTTTGCTGTTGTGAACAAAGCAGCAATAAACATGATTATGCATATATCTGGGTGGCAGTTCTGGTTTCTTTAGGGTATATTCCCAGTAGTCGAATTGCTAGGTCAAATGGTGTTTCTGTTTCCAACATTTTTTTAAAGTGCCATACTGCCTTCTATAATGGTTGCACCATTTTACACTACCACCAATAGTGAATGAGAATTCCATTCTCTCCACAACCTCACCAGCATTTGTTGTTTGCTGCTCTTGTTTTAACTTTGTTATTGTTACTAGGATGAAATGATACCTCATTTGTATCTCTCTCAGAGCTAGGGATTTTGAACATTTCTCCATGTTCACCATCTGAATATCTGTTCATATCATTTGCCCATTTTGCAACTGGGTTGTTTATCTTGTGCTTGAGTATACTAGAAATTCTAGATAGAAATCCCTTATCAGACATGTCATTACCAAATATTTTTTCCCAAGGACTAGAAATCTTTGCAGAAGCAGCCACATCTTTCTTCCATGGAGCAACTGGTAGACACTTGAACCACCAACCTTTTGGTTAGCATCTGGGCTTCTAAACTGTTCTGCGACCAGAGCTCCTGTGACCCCAGAGCTAACCCTCTGGAGGGTTTTTAGAGGCAATTACTTGCACAGGAGGAGATTACCCATCTTTCTTCTGCGGAGCAGCTGGTAGCAGAGCAGCTGGTGGTATCCTTGAACCTGACAGCTTCTTGTCACTAAGCCACCTGTTGTAATATTAAGTGGCTTTGTTGACCACCTACTATGTACATCCATCCTCACACCTTAAAACTCTGTACATTTAGTATCTTTTTTCCTGCTTTGCCAATGAGGAAATTGCTCAGAGATTTAAGTAACTTCTCAGAGACCTTCCCCACCTTTGTTGTTGTTGTTGTTGTTGTTGTTATGTGCCATCGAGTCGTTTGCAACTCATAGCAACCCTATGTACAGCAGCCCTAAATCCTTCTCTATCCTGTGCTAATTGCACTGCCTCTGACACACCCATCCCGATTACCCCAGTCACTGAATCAATCCATCTCATAGGAGGCCTTCCCCTCTTGTGCTGTCCCTCCACCCTCCCAAGCATGATGTCCCTCTCCAAGGACCTGTCCCTCCTTGCAACATGCCCAAAGTATGTCAGACAAAGCCCCAGAATCCTTGCCTCCAAGGAGTTGCTTGGTTTAATCCTCTCCAGGATGAATCTGTTTTCTTGGCAGTCCATGGTACGTTCAATACTCTTCTCCAGCACCACAGCTCAAAGGCATCAATTCTCCTTCTGTCCTCCCTAGTCATTGTCCAACTCTCTGATGCATAACAAGTGATTGCAAAGACCATGGCCTGTATCATTTACACCTTAGTCTCCAGAGAGACACCGTTGCTCTTGAGTACTAGTAAGTGTGAAATCTGGTTTGGAACATGGGCTCCCCTCTCCTGTTTGTGTGACTCCAAGTTAGGATAGGCTTTCGTTTTCCCTCAGAACGCTGCCTTTGAGAACCTAGATAGAATGATGGGCATAGGAAACTTACAGGGCAACCTGAGCCAGGCCTATACAGAGCAGGGTCTCTGGCTTTGCGGGGAGTGAGACCGCTGAACTTGACAAGGACTGACTGGCTCCTGCCAGAAGGGGAGCCTGTATAAGCAGGCAGGCGGAGCTCTCGCTCCGTGCCACAGCCCCACTGCGGTCTGCAGCCGTTTGCATTTCCTGAAACCGGATCTTGGTGTCAGAGCCGCCCCCAGACTAGGCGGGCGGGCGCCTCAGCCATGGCCCTGCGAGATGAGCTGCTCAAGTCCATCTGGTACGCCTTCAACGCACTGGACATGGAGAGGAGCGGCAAGGTCTCCAAATCTCAGCTCAAGGTGAGGGGCAGCCAGGGCCCTGGGGAAACCTTCCAACTCCCCTCACTGGCCTTTGCCTCCCTGAAAGCCAGGCTAGGACACTGCCGCCCCGGGGACACCCATCCATCCCAAGGCCCAGGTCCAGGTGGCCCGGGTGTAAGTACTGGGTAACTGGGGCAGAATGGCCCATCAGATGCTGCTGCCCTCCCGTTCGAAACTACTTGTGTGAGGTGTGCTACCCAGAGCCAGGCCTGGGAGTGTCTGGAGGGAATTATGGGATCTGATGGCCATGGGCCAGACCACATACCAGGCTCCATGTGATGAGCACACATGTACACTTAAAGTCATGCTTGGGCATGCACCCTACTCCTTCCTGTTGCTTTTTCTTGGCTTTGAAAAGACAGTTAGCTAGCATTTGTCAGTCACTTCCTCCCGAAGTTAAGGGAGGCAGAAAGGGCCTTTCTCAGTCCCAAACTGTAACGAAAGAGTGAGAGAGCAACTATTCGGAGTCATTCCTCCAGACACGGCAGAACTGGAAATGGGGCTAGGACTGAAGACATCTTATGGGGCTTTGCAGTGCCAGCACATACTTTGACACACACGCACACACACACACACACACACATGCTAGATTGGGTGGGAAATTACTGTAGGACTTGGGCTTCAGGTAGAAAGTGGGCAGAATCTGAGTCCAAGAAAAGTGTCATCAGTGACTGCTTGCTGTATGTTAATCATCTAATGCTAGAAAATGCCTGAGAAGCCAAAGATTTCCCCTCTTCCCTCCTTTTCTGGGTCAGTGCTGCCTCCCTACCCTAGTTAGTGGCACAGAAGACCCTCCTTCCTGGGGACAAGTAGGACTCTAGGAGACTCTTATCAGGTGATGCTGGAGCAAAAGAACAAAGTAGACCTCAGCTCTCCGGAACCTACGTAGAGATCCATTCATTTACTCTATAAATATTTACTGAGCACATTTGTCCTCCCCTGGACCTTCCTCCAAGAAGAGAGAAGTATACTGTCAGGGAAAACTCTGTTCTTAAAACAGAGTAGGAGGTGCCTGGAAACCTGAGAAAAGTGAACAGGATAGAAGAGTCATTATGTCCCATCCCCCCACATCTCAACCCCCTCATTTGCTGCAATCAAATCCAATCTGGTTCTGTCCCATAAGCTGTTCCTTAGCAGGACTTGTGAGCGTCTATTGGTTCCTGGGGAGAACCTCCCACAGGCAGCTTTTCCTTACATCCTACTTAAATCCCTTTGATTATAGATCATAGCCTATAGTCGGTCCTTAGTATATATAGATGGAAGTGAGGTAGGTATTTCAGAATTCATCACTATAGAAACTATGCCCTCCGCACACATCTCACCCTTTAATATCTTGCCAAAACATGCCCAACCTCAATGGTTTATTACAGCCAAAGTACCATTTCCCTCTCAACAGCAACAAAAGGGGTTGAGTATTACCAGGGAGGATTCCAGTGGAGCTTGTATATTTAAACTGTCTGCTATCTTTGGCTCGCTTCCCAACTCAATCTTGAGCTCCCTGTCAACAGCAGATAGGACCAATGGTAGATTTCTTTCCTGTTAGTGTTACTTCTGGGACCCTGAGCAAGCAGTGAAGAGTTCAGGGACCAGGTGAGGAGTATGGCAGAAATGGCGGGGACTCTATCTGCCCTAGAGGTAAAGATGGAGGGGCAATTCTCCCCCAAACCCTAGTGGGTAGGTACTGGGATGTGAGGAAGTGGTGATAGTGTTGGGGGCGGGGATGACAGAAAGGTCAAAGGAGCAATACAGAAGTGGTCAGAAGACAAAAGAAGAAGCAGATAAGAGAAATACCATAGGGCTCACTCGCTCCCCAGGCCTGCAAAGAAAGGATTCTCCAGAAAAGAGCTGGAGAGAAAGGAAAAGATTTTGGAGTTAATTTAACCTGTTCTTGCTAAAACTCTTCCTGGTCTTGAGATAGGGCAGGAGACCTATATCAGTACAGAGCAACCTATGTCAAGACCTTTTCTCTAATGAGGAGGCTGTCCTAGAAAACCCAAGATGAGGCCAGAAATAGAAAGAATAAGTCTTCAGAAAAAGCCTGAGGAGTAAGGATTGTTTTCCTGGAAAAGAGAAAGCTTGAAGAGACCAGGAAGGATTTCCTCTGAATTATTTTAGAAAGTGCAATGGCTTTGTCCAGTTGGATTGAGAGCCCTGTAAATAGACCAAGGAGTAGCAATGGCACTTTTGGTCAGATTGGATTTAAGTCGGACACAAAGAACTTCTCGAGAATCAAGAGCTATAATTTTGGCAGAGTCCCAAGAACTTTCTCTAAATACCTTAAAGTAGCAGCTTTAAGTTTATTTCAAGCCTGTTTGGGGATCTGCCAAGAATTTGGTTGCTTTCCTTCCCTATTACCAGGTCTGGAGGTGGGAGAATGAGGCTGTGGCTGAGGCACCTGGGAACTAGAGAGAGGAAAATTCAGACAATGTCTCCAGCTTAACAGGATCTAAGGAGGCACCAGCACTTCTAAATAGCAGGCGCCAGGAGAAAGGAAGGGTGTACAAGAGTCTGCCCTGCTTGGCTCCATCAAGGTGATGCCTTTGAGTTGTGGTGTTGGAGAAGAGTACTGAATATCCCATGGACCACCAAAAGAACCAACAGATAGTTCTTCGAAAGGGTGCAGCCAGCTTGCTCCTTGGAGGCAAGGATGGTAAAGCTCCATCTCTCATACTTTGGACATATTGCTAGAAGTGGCTATTCCTTGGAAATTGATACCGTACTTGGAAAAGTAGAGGATCAGCAAAAGGTGGGAAGACTCCCAATGAAATGGATTGACATGGTGTGATTGCCTCAAATGTATCAGAGATGATGATGATGGCACAGGATAGGACAGGGGTCAGGTCTTTTGTTCAAAGGGTTGTATTGAGTCATACTTGACAGTACCTAAAAACAACAAACTCCCAATTGGTATTTAGGGCAGTCCTGGGCCTCATGGTCGGTCACTTGCCTCTCTGAGCTTTAAGCTCTGTCTTCTCTGAGGAGGGAGACAATCTTCTTAGAAGGAGGAAGTTAAGAACAATATCAATCTAAGAACCTATGGACCAAGGTTTCTCAGCTTTGTCCTGACCCCTACATGCTGCTGGTCTTTTAAGGCTAGAATTAGAGGGATTGGTGGTGGGGAATTTAATAAGCATAGAGCACTGAACTCAGAACCAGAGAGGCTTAACCTCTGCTGCTCCCTAGATGGGCAATTTTGGGCCAGTCAATGTTACCTCTGTTATCTCAAAGGTAAAGCAGGAGAGTTGAGCTAGGTGATTGCAAAGCCATCCATCAAATCTTCAAAATAAAACCTCAAGTAATTGAAACTGGTCTTTGATTCAGCCTACTTTTCCCTTTTCTAGGTCTCTGTCTTCCTTTTGATGTTTTTTTAAGGATTTATGCTTTATTACCCACTGGTCGTGAAAATCTAAGCAATTAACCACTCTTTATCATTTTCTTTTCATTTTTTAATTATGAATTGAATGAAAGTTTATAGAGTAGATCAATTTTTCCATTCAACAGCTCCTGTGCATTTTGTTTTGTGGCTTTGATCGCAATCCTTGCTGTGTAATAACACTCATCCACTTCCGCCCTGTGTTTCCTGTTTCCACTCTTCCTTCTTTCCTAACCCTTCGTGCCTTCTACCTTTGTCCTTGGGCAGATACAGCCCTTTTGATTTCCAATGGTTGATTGTTTTAAGGAATGTTTACCTCACTGGTTATGATGTTCACCTTACAGACCTGGGTAATTTTCAGCCAAATGGCTGAAAATTATGAACATGAACCATGGGGGTGAGCTTAGTTGCATGCCTAAAGGGTGATTGAGGGCTATAGTCTTAGAAATTTCACAGACTCTGTCATAACAGTAAACCTGGTCTTTTTTATTATTTTTAATTTTGATCCACATTTCTCTCCCATTCTATCCAGAACCTTGTAATGTAGTCCCTTTTAGACCAGTTGCCAGTGATGGCCAGGCACTATCTAATTCTTCTGATCTCAAGGTTGTTGAGGCTGAGATTCTCATAGTCCATTTGTCCTTTTGATGAATTATTTTCATGCATCTTTGATTTTCTTCAGTGTTCTTTGCTCTGGGTGGGGAGAGACCAGTGGCTGTCCTGTAGATGGCCACTCACAAGCTTATAAGACTTAAGCACTTATTCACCAAAGTAGGATATAGATTTTCTTTGTGGATTATGTTGTGTCAATTAACTTTGATGTTTCCTGAGACTGCGGTTCTGAGTCCCTACAGTCAGTTGTTGTTAGGTGCCGTTGATTTGACTATGACTTATTCCAGCCTTAAGATCAATAAACTGATGGTCATGTTCATTATTGCAGTTACTTCATAAGATAATAAGATGTGTCAATCCATCTTATTGAGGGTCTTCTTTTTCACTGACTCTCTACTTTTGCCAGCATGGTGTCTTTTCCCAAAACCTGGCATTTGTTGATAATATGCCCAAAGTACGTGAGCTGGCATTTCACTATCCTTGCCTCTAAGGAGCACGTGCTCGCTGCATTTCCTCCAAGACAGATCTGTTTGTTCTTTTGACAATCCATGATAGATCCAATACTCTTCGCCAACACTACAATTTAAAGGTATTGATTCTTGATCAGTCTTCATTATTCATTGTCCAACTTTCACATGCATATGAAAGAATAGAAAATATTATGATTAGGCCAGGAACACCTTAGTCTTTATACTGACATCTTTGCTCTTTAGTGCTTTAAAGAGGTTACTGATAGCAAATTTGCCCAGTGCAACCTATCTTTGAATTTATTAACTGCTGCTTCCATGGGTGTTGATTTAGATCCATGTAAATGTAAATCCTTGACAACTTCAGTCTTTTCTCCATCTATCATAATCTCTACTGGTCCAGTTGAGAGAACTTCTGTTGGATCTACTATGAGTGACTGAAGTCTTCACTTTCTGCAAGCACAATTGTGTCATCTACCTTACACAGGTTATCGACTCTTCCAATCCTGAGGCCACAGTCTTCTTCA